CCGGTCTGGGCTCTGAATGCTTTTGGAGTCGCGCTGGTCGCAGCATGAAAGAACATCACTGAGCTCAACGAACGGTGCCTTCTTTGCGGAATTTATCGACTCGTGTCCATTTCCTGTTCTCCATTGGATCCGCACCACGCTGTTTCTCCCCCGACACCCGACTCCGAAAGTCGACTGTCAAGCTGGTGTGTAGACCGCCGGCTTCATCGTGGGCTCCCTCCGGGCAGCACTGCGTAGCGGACGACTTACGCGATCTAGCAATCTGCATCTCATAAATGTGATGCCCGATTCAAGGGTCGTGATCTTCACGGTCTGGACCTGTGATTCATCCGCCAGTGCTTCAGATACATCCAGCTTCTCGCCAGAAGGGGCTTTTGATCTCGTCATGTCGCTAATGGCGCTCCGGGTCTCCCTTTACCGCCGATATCCTGAACATGACCTTCGCCCTACGCCTACTTACCGTTGCTGCTGCCGGCATTGCCCTTTCCCCACTCAACGTCATCTGGACTGTGCGAGCTTTCGGCCGTTGAGAGTACGTCAATCTCAACCTCGAAGGCGCGCGTTAGAGGTCTCGTCCGTGCGATCGTCGTTCTGAAAGCAGTGGCGGGTTTGCGGCGGCAAGGCCTGTATAAGGTACCGCGCGCTTGGCGCATGGCGCTGGCCCTAAAATGGCCCACACGCCTCCTCCATGCGGCTGCCTCAGGTTTCTGGAAATCAACGCTCGCGAAATGCTGCCTGGCAGCTGGACGGCCTGTGCCGCCAATCACAATATTGTATCAATTGTTTTACCTCAGACAACAGTCGAAAATACTCAAGTTCCTTGCGCTGTCGCGCTGTAATTGGACTGGCCTGACTGGCCGGTTAGAGCAGTGTGTGATGTGTGACAAGAACACGGAGTTTGCGGTCGGGCCAAGCCTGTGAGTCCTCCAAAGAATAGCGGCTATGCTTCTATGATCTGGTATTCGGACACCGATGGGTGATCCAGGCTCTGCACACGACCGATGATTATTCTGGGGGGTTTCTGACCACATCTCGCGGTATAGGCCGAGTCCAGATCGCGGGAGCGTGCAAAGTCGTGTCCGCACCTGTGCACAATGGCTTCCTGCTCTGATAGTTTATAAAGGTGCTTGACCTGATGTGTCGACGACTACCCCAGCGCCGCTGTTAGGCTAGTCTGTCCACTCGACTTCCGTCTTTGTTTCCTTGCCACCCGTGTATACTTCCTCTCCAGTGCTGAGTTGTTAGTTGTCCCGCCCTCTTTGAAACCACACCGTGAACAGTTATGCCTTCGTACTTCCGCAACATCTTCGGTGGTGGCTCAAATACACAGTCGTCTTCTGCTAACACCAAGACTCGCTCCCGTTCGAATCCGCCTGCGGCCCACATCTACGCCACTCCTCCAGGCTCGAGTGGCTCAATTGCCAGCGTAAACATGCAGCGCACCTACAGCTATTCTGCCTCGCGTTCTACAACACCTTCGCCCCTCCGGTACACTGCTGGCACTGACACACGTACTGCGCTGGGGTATGGAAAGCGCGAGTCGCGCCCGCAGGCGCCCCGGCGGGCAAGTTACAAATCGGGAGAGCCGGGTACGTCCCCACCGCTTCGCCCATGCAGGCTAGTCGAGGTGCAGAAACTAATTTCATAATGAATCTGTAGTAGCGAATTACGCGATGCACACGCCCTCCGCATCCTACATTACTCCACCGAGCTCGCGCTCGAACTCTAGCTCGTCGCTCTTTGGCGTGGGCGCTGCATCATCGTACAGGACATCGAACTCCGACTCAGGCCATGGCGTGCGATACCCAGATTCGCGTCCTGTACTGAGGCAACACCAGACATGGGCTCCTGGCAGCAGTGCGGGAAGCGCATCATCTTGTAAGTCTGCTTCTGACTTGTATTTCTCGTACCCTTCATTCATTCATTCTCTCCCAGATGGATCTATGCGCGGAGAGTCGCCTGCACGCTCCTCCCACTCGATCCCTCGATCCTCGCACTCCCCCGCACGCTCAACACATTCGCCCACCGCTACCTCCTTCACGCGATCGCACACACCCACGCTGCACATGCATCCCCTCTTCGCATACACGCGCCTGCATCGTGCTCCGCTGACGTACGACGTAACGTTCACGCCCTCAGCCCGCACCGTGCTCGACCGCGCGACGCACTCCGCCATCCCCTCGCACACGCTCGCCCAGCCCGCCACCGAGCCACCGACCGCCGCAGGCGCTCGGCTCGTCCTGCGCTCGCACAAGTTCCCGTGGCCGGTCGTCGTTGCGCCGTCGAGTGCACCGCCAAGCTCGCCTGGGCCGCGGTTCACCGTCGCACCCGCAAAAACGGGCGCGATCTCGAACCTCGACGTGCTGTACGCGGTGCAACGACGCTGATGGTGCCTGTGACGCCGGAAGAGTGGACGAGCCTTGGGCACGGGAGCCGCGCGCAGCAGAAGGTGACACGCGCGTACGAGCGGCGCTGCCAGCGCATGGGCGGCGGCTGGGAGGGTGGCGTGCGCCGCATCGACTGGCTCGGGGAGAAGACGCGCCTGGTCGGTGTCGAGATCGACAAAAGCGGCGCTCCAGGCGGCGCGGGGAAGCTCGTGTTCGGGAAGGCCTGAGGGCCCCTTCCCCCATTATGCTCTCTCTCGTTCTTGGTTGGTCCCGGATTGGGATGGTGATATACGTTGTGGTCTGCCGGTCTGCGACCGGCCCAAAATCTGCGCAGTGCGTGCCGCTGCGCCTGCTTTCTTGCTCTGCTCTCGTCGTCGCACGCTCGCTATTCTGCCTATCTTCCGTCTATCTGCTCATGTGCTCATGAATTTAACGATCGCCCACGCTGACGGACCTGTACACTAGCCTCTGCGCGTTACGATAAATATCACGACGGACGATGTACTATATTCGCGCACCCACGCCCGCTCGCCCTGTGTCTATAGTCTATGTACCATATGCTCCCGAATCACCCCTCGCTCGCTGTGCCACCGCCCCTGTGTGTAGTACCAGTACCGCACACTCTGTACGCCGTTGGCTAATCGTATACACTGATTCTGCCATACACACCGTATGATTCGAGCGACACACTCATGATCAACAGCTGGCCGCATCACGCACATATGATGCGCGCACGCACAATGTACACCCCCGATACAAATTGAGAAGTACGAACGTCGAGCTTACAGGGTCCGAGTACAAGATCCGATAAATTGAGAAGGCGCCGAAGCTAGCGTATGATGCACGGATCGTGATACATGCACCGGTCGAAGGCGCGACAAACACGCGCATCGGACGAAGATGCGTCCAGGGGAACGATCGCGCGGAATTAAGCCCCACGAGACCGTCCATACATACAACGGTCTTGTGGCCCGCGCGCGCCAGAAGCCGTCCAGCGACCCAGAAGACCAGAAACCAACAATCAGAAGCCAGAGACCGGAGAAGACTGCAGAGTGACAAAAGAGAGACGTCCATGGCGGAGAAACCGTGCCGCCTGCGACAGCTAGACCAGAGCCGGAGAGAAGAGCGAGAGACGGCAGCGGGGTCAGGCGTCGGAAGGCGTGCACAGATCATTCGCAGCTGACCCGAGATCCGGGAAGTCGTACGTGCCGGGGATGGCGACGACGCAGCCGGCGGTATCGCGATGCGAGTTGCAGTTCTCCTGGTCGTTCGGCGCGGCGCAGCAGCGCAGGCAAAGCGTGACGCGGAGGGCTCGACTCTGCAGGTGCGCGGAGAGACAGTGGGCACGGGGAGCACGGTGATGAAAAGCATGGCAAGCACGCGTCAGCGGGTGGAGCGGAGGGGGGACGGAGGGGACGCACTGTTCGATGAAGCTCGCAGCGTACCCGCCGAACGTGCACTGTGCACCGTTTGGGAAGCGCACGTCGAACTGGCCGCCGTCATCTGACTCGCTCAGGGAAGACTTGCTCGTGTCGAGGCAGCCCGTGACCTGCATTCGGGGTACAGATCAAGGATGGGTCAGGATGAATGCTTCGGCTGTGCAGCGCTACTGTCAAGTGAAAAGAACGGAACAGGGCATTGCGGGGGCATTGTGGGGGCATTGCGGGGTGATATGTATGCTCCGAGGCACGGACACAGACATCTCGATCAAGGTCACCGGAATTTAATCTCGGTTACGACGCAATGATGACCGCCGAAGCAGGTTCAGAGACATGATTCATTTCCGAAGCAGGCGGACGCGTCCAGACGTTCAAGACTCCATTCGAACTAGACGAGATGCCATAGAGCCCGTCCGCCTCATAAACCAATTGCGACGATCCGCTCCAACAGGCGCTTTATATGTAGTGGAAATAACGAAACTCATGGCTAGCAACAGGAACCACGACATACCTGAACATAAGACCCATCTGCGGCATGCTTGACAGCGGCGGCGCGTATGAAGCCATCGGTCATCCGTCGGGAGCAGCCCGACCCGGTGGTAGAACGTGTGCAGAACGCTACTCCATCGCTCTCCGCGTCCGAAATGAGCTCTGTAAACATTATGTGCAGGTTAAAACGCGCCCGACGTGTCGGTCAGCAGCACGAGACTCGGCCCAATGTCCACACGCACCACCCGGGTTGGCAGGCAAGAGGAGTGCAAAGTCGTGAATATCGGTGATGTGTACTGTCGTGGAGGCCGAAGAACGTCCTGTCGGCGCGGGGGTAGGGCTCAGGTTGCCGGGTGCGGTTTCACTGATAGCGGGGCTGCGTTTGGAGTAGACATCCCGAGTCTGACCCCTCCCAGGGATATCTGGCATGTACTCGGCTATGCCATCGCCGCGTAGGGGTCAGACCAGGACAGCCGGCGAAAGAGGGAAGAGGTATTGCCTTCAAGCAAGAGCGGAAACAAGAGAGGATACACGGAGTCTGACGGTTCGTCGGACTGGTCGAGCAGGACAGCGGCTCGACCGAGAGCGAGAGCACAGGCGAGGACAGAATATGTGAAGAGGACGCGCATGGTGGTGTTGGAAGAGATGAACATACTAATCCGGTAATCCGTTTAAAACACACTGTTCCCGTTTAGCTCAGTTGGTAGAGCGCGTCACTAGTATACCGGTCCCATCATTAGATGCTCGATATATGACGAGGTCAGTCGTTCAAATCGGCTAATGGGAATTGTCGGTCCGAGGAGGATCCTTTTGCCTCCTAATCGGAGTCGTTCGTGGGCAGGATATAGTTGGACGAGGTTGCGGACAGAGTTCAACGTTGCAGCATGAGGCTCACGATGAGCAGAGCATGCCAGGCTGCATGGTGGAGTCAGGGTATATCAATTTTACTCGACGATAGTAGTACAATGACGATGGAGAGCGTTGGGGGTGCGCGAGGTGGGTATCCTGCTGTACAAACAACATTGGAAGGGAAGCCGGTGATAGATAGTAAGACTGGGGATGATATGGAGGGGAGTAGTGCTAGGAATAAGTCATGTGCTACAGTATGTCCGGCGGGTGGTTAGAGGAGAGGCAGATACAACCCGCCCAATCCGTACCAGTGGCCTAGGCCATGGTCCCCGAGTGCACGCAGTGCTCGACGACGATCTGGCATATGTACATTTTCGATGTTTTCGGCATCCGGGCGAAGTGCAGTCCGAGTCCGAGGCGCGAGTCCGAGTTCCGTAGTCCGGTTAGAGTCCAGTAAAGACATGCAGTCTGGGGCAGCGCGGAAGAATAAGTCAGTGTCACCTCATAGACAAGAGAACCTAGGCGACAGAGAGCTCGAGCTCGCAGTGTGCCGTGTTCGGCTCGGCGCCGACGAGCTTCATCCCCGCGAAGAGCACGCGCGGGCCGAGGAGCTGTGAGCGCCGGACGACTCCGGGAGCGCCGCCCATCGCGTACTGCTGCACGTCCCGCGGGAAGCACCGCAGCTCGTGGCCCTGGACCTGGTGCGACAGCTCCTCGTACACCTGCCGCAGCACGTCGCCCACCGTCACCGTCACGCCGCGCGCACTGCGCACCTCGACGAGGAATATGCCGAGCACGTTCACGGACACGCGCGTCACGCCGGGCCGGACCGCGGGCTCGCCCAGCGCGCTCGGCGGGAAGCCGCGGAACTGGATGGTCTCGGGCGGCTGTGTGATGAGGAAGTGCATGGCGGAGGCTCCGGCGGCGAGTAAAGGATGCAGTGCCGACGCGCCGGCACCTGCGCTCTTCGACGGGCTCGAAGGGGGAGTCATGAGACCGTCTGGGGCCGCGACGGTCAACAACACTCCGCAAAAGAGAAGAAGAAAGAAAGCATACAAGAAGATATGTTGTTGGACGCACTGGGGAGGTCAACGGGGTGCATGCGCGGGGCGGCGGGCGGCGGAAAGCCATGCCCGTGCAGGGAGGACGTCGGCGTCTGCGGCGAGGGAGGCAGATCTCGGGGGTGGATATACGGCGCGTTCGGATACGAAGGCGGACTCGTCCGGGAGGACATGTGGCTATGGCCCGAGGACGGAGTGCTAGGATATTGCATTGTGGATATGGAGGGGGATAATACGGGAGGGAAAATAGTTGTGCGGAGGGGTGAGGCGGGAGGCGGGCGGGACGGGGGCGGGATGAGGAGACCGCCCCCGGCGCAGAGACATTTATAGCGGGAGGGCGGGCGCGCCCACGGTGCGCAACAATGCCCTGCGCAAAGCCCGGCGGGCCCAGAATTCGAGTCATGAGGGGCGCGGCCGCGATCCCGACGCAAGAACGCTGATGAGACGTTGATGGATAGTGATAACACCACAGCCCGCGCCCTCCGCCCCGCGCGCCTCCCGCTCTTCCCGACGCTTCCTTCCAAATCCGGTATCCCGCTCCTTCCTTACTGGGTATCGCGCCGCACCGCCTGACGGAAGAACCTCCGGACCTCGCCCGCGTGGCATGCAGCGTGGTATCCGGTTCCCCCATCGGGCAGGCGTACGTCGGCCTCAATCACGGAGAAGGGCCCGACGACTGTCACATATCTCCCGGAAGCTGCCCGCTTCCAACCCGATGCTGCGGCATAGGGCAGCGGGCACCACGCAGGCGCCGCCGACCGCCGCCGTCACCTCCGACGTGACGCCGGACGTCACTCCGCTGCGGCGGGCGCACCGGCCGCTGCGAGTCCGGACGAACAATGGCAAAATCAGAGCTTCGAATTCCAACTACGGATATCAAGTAAGCTACCACTAAAAGGAGGACAAACATGCGCACGGCGGCCTCAAGGGTACAATAAACACTAGCTGAATAAGTTATGCAAAGCAGTCTAAGCGCGAAAATCAAGAGACTTCAGTAGCTGCTCGACGGTGTTCGCCCAATCCACGCCGTCCCCGTTGCCCAACGCTCTGACCTTCTTGAGGCGGTTCAGGCCATGGATCCTCGGACGCTTACTTTTCGTGCCACCCGCCCCGCCCTTCGCCCATGGCCCCGTGCACTGGTTGGCCAAAGTCTGGATTTCCTGCAGGTCCATTGTGGCTTGCGCACGCAGCCACGCAGCGCTGTCGGCGCGGTGCGTCAGGCAATCGGGCTCGCGGTACCCCACCAGGCTGCCCCCACAGTCCTTCCCGTCGTTCTCCAGCATCGGCGAACCGTCGGGCCAGAGGGAGCCGCCATTGGTCTTCGCGAGCACCTTCGCGATGTCCAGGCTCTCGCCCGGCAAGATCGGGACCGGCTGCGAGGGCGTCACGCACGGCATGTCCACCTCCTTGCGCAGTACATGATCAATATCGACTGCGGAGAAGAACGCTACGCCCTGGGCAGATCGTCCATGCCAAGTCTGTAGGCGAACAGGCTGCGCGTCCACAGGTTGGCAATCTGCAACGCCAGAGCAGCACGGTACCTGTCCTCCTCCTTGACTAGGTACCGCAGCTCGTCGTGCACGGAGATGAGGTAGCGCGCTTGGATGTTGTACTTGGAGATGAGGTGCTCCATCGCGACAATCAGGAGATGCAGGTAGTCCACGCCCGATGACTGGACCACCCAGTTGATGCGCGAGGGCATGTAATCTGCGCCGAATGCGGCAGGGAGGTACTCCTTGGACAGCGCAGACGTCACACCACAGCCAAGCGCCGGGGTCTGCGGCCGCGCAGACAGGGCGATTTCTTCGAGTTTGTTGAACACGAAACTCTCCGTTCCGCCGAACCAGAACTTGCGCCCGAAGAGATCGCCGCGATGAGTGTTTTTGCCTTTCGTAGATGCGTACAGATTCTGCGCGAGCTTCTGTGCCTGCTCCGGAAGCATCCCGGCGTTCGACTGGAGCAGCAGCAGCACCGCATGCCGCATGCCTGCGCCGTAGATCCGCGAGTAGTTGAACACTTTGGCCTGGTCGCGCGAGATACCCAGGATGCTCGCGGTCTTCGAGTGCAGGTCCGTGCCCGCCGCCTTGGTGCCCTCGAGCGTCATCCACCCGATCGCAGTCGCGCCATGCAGCCCAAACTGCGCGTCGCCCATCACGCTCGAGATCCACAGCTCCTCCGAGTCGACATCCGCACCCACGATCGCGTACCCGTCCGGCGCACGCACCATCGCCTTCAGCTCCGAGCCCACCCGGTTCGCCTTGGCGTTGCTCGCCGTCAGCCACGTCTTCTCGATCGCGCGCCGCGTCACCGTGCCCATGGTGATCACCTGCGGGAGGATGATGCCCCACTTCTTGCGCGCGTCCGCCAGCGGCGGCACGCCAATGTCGACGCGCCGGTCCTGCCAGACGACCATCTGCTTCAGCACGCGGTCACGCGCGCTGATCCAGTAGCTGCACTGCGCATTCATGTCGAGCGCGTCCTGCGCCTCGGTCCCGGGGCTCGTCAGCGTCCCGTCCTGCGCAAACTTCATGAACGTCTTCCCGAGCGGGCTCCCCACGTTCGCCTTCTCCCCGTCCTTGTGCGGCAGCTTGTAGAACACGAACCCCCCGCTCAGCGCCGCCTCCTGCAGCGCGTTGTCGGCGGCATCGCCGAAGCTCAGCGCGGTCATGCGCGTCTCGAAGTTGGCCGCGCGAGATACGCGGAACGTCCACCCGTGCTCGCGCGAGTGGAAGAGCGGCCAGCCCTGCCAGGACAGGCGCAGCAGCAGGGGCGCGAAGCGGTTGCGCACGGTCAGGTCGAGCGTCCCGGGAGCACAGTCCTTTTTGGCCTGGCGAGATCCCAATACCACTTGGGCCAGTGGACGGGCGGGGGCTTGGCTTTTGCTGGTGCCCGATGCGTCCTGGCTGGCTTGCGCTGAGGCTCAGAAGCCGCGTCGCCAATGCGGGCCTCGACGAGGGTCCAATCCAGCTGCCGTAGCCACGCGTCCTGCGCTGCTTGCTCCGCGTTCATTTCAGACGTTTGCTTGGCGAGAGTGACGATACGACTCAGGATCTCCGGGGAAATCGCCCCGGACGAGATTGCTATAGCCAGGTCATTGTCGTTCGATGTCAAACTGCCTGATTTGAACGCTGGTATACCGTGCCTTGGACCGAGCACGGTTGCTGTTTTTGTGTCACGCGCGGTGGGTAGACGGGTGATCGTGCCGTTTGCAATCCAGTGCCACTTTTCAGCAGACGAATACTGGAGCGGATGCCCGTCGTAAGAGAGACGAAGGAGTAAGGGAGTATGCGGTTGACAGCCCGGGAAGAGAGAGGACCTGCAGTGAGGAATTCCCTGTACCAAGCGGGGATCTGCTCGGGAACGGCGAGCGGCTGGCGGTCACGGTCCGGCAACCCGACGGACGACGGATCTGATACTTCGACTTCCGTAGACTGGTGAACGTCAGAAATGTTGATGAGGCGGATGCATAAGCGCTCACCTCATGAGGCAAGATGCCCCTGGACTTCCCGACAACCTTCGGGGTCCAGTCCAGCTGGCTGAGCCAGACGTCGTCCTTCCATTTCTCGTTCACTATCAATTCCTTCGCCTGGTGGGCGAGGTCGAGGAGGCGTGCCTTCACCTTGTCCTCGAGATCCTTGTACGTGCGCTCTGCATTCACCAAGTACGCCTCCCACTCCTGGTTGACCGTCAGCAGACTCGAGCCCATAGTGAGGATGCCTGCGAAGGACACCGGGCTCGGGCACGCAGCGAGGAACGCGGGAAGCGTCTTGGAGAAGACAGCATGCGTGACCGCGACGTCGTTCGAGCAGTAGTTCAGGTAGTCCTGGACGTTCTCTGCGATCTCGGCCGGGGAGCACTTCATAAAATCATCGCGTGT